AGGATCTTCCTCCTCCTCCCTCCTCGAATGTCACGGCGCAGGAATGCTTTCCGAAAAACTCCTGCTCTCGTCCACATATCCCTCGCGTATCTCGTTTCTCCGGACTCATCGACACGACCGACATCGGCGTCGTGCAGACATTTATTTAAATAACCGCAAAGCCATGCAGAGGCCCGTTCGCGCGACCGCGAACGGGTAAGACCTTCGCGGGTATGGACTCGATCGCGCCCGACGCACGTATCTCCCGATACGTCGAAAACGCACGAACGTTTTTCCTTTTTTTCCCCCCCATCAGTCAAACTCAAAGGAAAAAAGAGACGCAAAAAGAAAGGAATAGTCCGCTAAAGGCTACTGATTAAAAAGAACCTTGAAATCAATAAAGTATATATATATAAAAGATCGAAACCAATGTTAGAATACGCAAGCAATTATAAGTATAATTTTTATCTTAAAATTTGATTAGCCGCGCGCAACAACCGCGCATCAAATTCGTCTTGGTTATGGATTTGTAATTACAGGAAATAGGATCATTAATTCGGAGACAGTGAGAATGGTGGAGGACCGCAGGAGTCAGTGGCCGCAGATGTGGTATACGCAGAATACGTAACATATAAATGAGATCCGATTTCGTCGGATGACAAGCAGTCTATTGGATATTTGAGCCTTCGATCAATAAACAGCCCTAAAATCGAAGTCGTAAAGCGCGTCCCGACTGTTGCATAACAGCCGGGTAGAAAAAAAATTATTTAAAAGTCGTGCGTAACATAACCAGGCTATTTGCTACCCAATGCCGTTAGAACGCGACCGTGTACGGAACGCACGTACGCGTAGCTGTTATTAACGCAGGCGTCGACAGGACATTTTTTATCGGCCCCTATGGTAGCGCGTTTGCTGCGGGCACAGCTGAAGGAAATGGGAGAATATTTTAACGAGAGCGCGCCACGGTAATCGCTGTAGAAGTATAGAGACTCGTCTCTTCCGCTTGCACGCTTAAGAGGGAAAACAATTAGAAATACAAATTTGAAGCAGAAAGAAGCTGTCTACTACAAGACACAGTAGATCATAAAGGGATAACGATATAAAAAAAAAAATTATAAATATATTATAGATATTCTGTATTTTAATTATTCCGCCATCTGATGTATTGTTTGTGGCATCGCGTTGCTGATGATTCGTTTCTACATAACATCGTTTTTGATAAAAGACACAAAGACGCAGATAAAGGACTAAAATCGAAAAAATAACAAGAAGACCTGGGGGTTTTCATTCTCGAAAAATTTCGCATATACGAAAATACTAATAAGGAAATATATATAGTATACGTAATCGTACATTTTTGTATATGAAATTTTTCAAGAATAAGGTCCCAAATCGTAATACAATAATTGTACTTTCGCGAATACACCGCTAAGTTAATGGCGTGTTTTGCCGATTCTACCGATATTATTCTTTCCTGTGCCTGACCCCCCGCAGCCTTCTACAGTCTTTTATTCCTCCAATAATTTTGTATCATTATATACTTATGAAACCATGAAATTTCTAGTTAATGAGATCAATTACGGGGCGCGCGGAGCGAGCGATGTGTTCCGTGAAAAAGAAAAGATATAAAAGAAGGGGCGAGCTTTTAAAAAGAAATAAAAAGTAAAAGAAAAGACAAGTTTGAGTGGCAATGCGTTGAAGTAGATGAAGTAGTTGAGGTAGAAAACAAGCGAGCGGCACCAAGACGAAAAGTAGGCATAATTAGCAAAATAATGACGTATCGCTAACCTTGGCAAATTTTCCAAAAGACCTGCTTTTAACTTTATCGCACACAAATGGCACACCTCGGCAAACTTACGCGCAAAAGCCCGGAGTCGGCCTGTATTTATAGGCACCCGATCGAGAGAGTAGCCATAGCCACTATCGTGCTGAAAACTGAGCGCAACCCCTCGGTTGCCGTATATACACTTATCGTACTTCGGAGCGTTATCGAGGCGGCGGCGACGAAACTGCGGGGGATGGTACGCACAGCCACTAATCGAAATCGATCGAATCGAATCCGTTACTGCATCACCGGAATCGCGTGTTTTTCGCGTCAACCTCCTCGACGTCGAATCGATTATGCGCTATGCGCGCCGACGAAGAGGTCGCCGCGTATTTCGCGAATCCGCGAAAAAATCGATTCGATCTGTCGCGCGTTTTACGACTGGTAACAAGTCGATTTGTTCGAGAACATGTTATTAAATATATGTTATGCTGTTTCCATTTTTCTTTTCTTTGGAATCGCGCGCAACTGTCTCGTTACTCATTGTGTAAACGCGCGGGGATGTCTCGGGCACACTCGTCCTCGATCGAATTTCGCATTTCGCCGGGCCGGGGTGGGGGGAGGCGGAAACGAAAGATGAAAGAGACACGCGGAATTTCTTCACCGTTCAAATTATAGGTAGTACATTAGGCAATTTTCTGAACCGATGCGCTTGTTTCGATAGACTCCAAGGACTATTAACGCACTCACGTAACACGACGCGCGGGCGATGAATCATCGCGCGCATCCTTCTACCTTCCATTTTCTGTCTTTACAATATAGAGGAATTGGAAAAAAAAAACTCGACGTACTCTTGTGTTCCGTGTCTTTCGCATCAAAATCTCCCGTGTTTTTGATGCGTTATCGATTATCAGGAATAGTGCTCTTAATCAGGAAAAGTCTTGAAAAGTTTGCGGAAAAAAGTTTATTTTTCAGCTTTTTTTCATTACCTTGTTTTTCCGAGTTTTTTTCTTTTAACGATTTCAGCATTCTTGTCCTCTACGTCAATGGTTTTAAGACTGTTAAGATTTCTTTCACATTTAAATGTTCTAACAGGTAATTCATAGCAATAAAGCTCGTTGTCGTGAACATTTATGAGATTTCTGTTAAAATTTATGAACTTATTTCTTTCTGTTAAACGTTGAATAAACGTTTTTAATAAAAAAAAGAAGCCAATTGAGCGATACGGGTAATGCTAGGGCGCAGATATAATGAAAAGAATAAAGAATACAAAATTGAACACAAGAAAGCCAGAAGCAGACAATACAATTTTTCGTCCTATACCTTACGTTTAATTCCATTTTTCCTTGTTCTGAGCTTCTACTTTATTGAATGGAGAACGTTTGTTTTGTGTGTATTTGTTTTTCCAGAAAATTGAGAATATTAAATACTTTTTTCTATTTTTTCCGTATTTTTCAACAACAACAAAAAACAGAAAAAATCGGATTTTTTCCTCGATTTTATTTCTTCGAAAATTAAGAACACTAATCAGGAATGAATAATGTGGCGTTGAGTTTAATATGCAAAGTTTAATGTACAACGTTCTCTCGTTTCTCCAATTTATAGCAGACATTGGCATTTCAGACTTTTCGATTTTTCGCTCGCAGTCGATTTCTTCGAACGCGTGTTGCGACAGTTTTGAGAGTAATATTAAACATCCGATAATTGTTTCAACGTAAATACAACGAATACATACAGTTGGCGAGGAAAGAAAAAGGAAGGGAAGGACAAGATTGTGGATAAAAGACGATTGTTGATTCGCCTTGAAAGAAGAAGTAAAAGAAATTCTCTTCCCGGAGAAATTCGTGACACATTCCACGGCAAGTGAGACCGATCCTTTGTTGATTCAAGATACGTAATAAAGTGTAAGAAACGCGGCGATGTGTGTTGCCTCCTTATCTTCCGTGCCTAACGCACGTTTTACACGATGAAAAGGTCGAGACACGTAAAACAAATCTCTGAAATATTTCGAGCCAAGGGGATACGATATTGCGCTTAGTTAGATCTTTCCGTAAGTAACTTTTAATTACATCTTGTCACTCCCATTTTCCTCTCTCTCTCTCTCTTATTCTGCTTTTGTACCAGACGCACGTTCCTTTTTCCGTCGGGGTCAAAGTTCACCTCTTTACCTCGCGGTCTGTGTCGAAATCATGCTGCCTCTTCGCATGCATGATCGTCGCGACGCAAGTAACAATATCGCGGTAGTTTCGGAAAATATAACGGAAATGCGGCGAGAGAGACGATATTGAATTATATTGCGATGTTCTCCTACGCCGACGAAACAAAAGCCTCCTTATCTAGGCGCTGATAACGAAAAAAATGGTCTTTTCCGCTATTAACAATTACTATCGGTATCTGCTAAATAATGCCAAACGGCTAGTTGTCGTTATCGCGAGCGCATTTACTTCTCGACACACACACACACGCACACGCACACGCACGCACACATACACACACGCGCGCGCGCGCGCGCGCGTACGTACGTATAAATACGCGCGCGTACGCGCACGCACGCACGCACGCACGCACGCATGAATATACATGCACGCATATATTATCGTATTTGTAACTTAACCGGCGGCAGCAGCAAGTAACTTAAAGACAATGGATCGCTCTATTATTACAATGATGTAACAACAATGAAATTATCATGGTGATGTGGAAAAGCCTCGACTGTTAACAAGGAGAGAGAGAGAAAGAGAGAGAGGAGCCAAGGTAGAAGTGGGTGCGCACGGCGACGCTTCGCTCCGGTTTATAGGTCACGTAATCGCGAGCGGTTCTTACATTTGAAAAGGTGATAACCGACACGTCGAACGTTCGCGAAAAACGTTGCGTTTTCCGTTTGAAAAAGGTACTAAAAGCGAAAAAAAGGAGACAGACATAGAGACAACAAAAAGAGAGAGAAAGAGAGACAGCGCGAGACACAAACCGTCGTTCTTGTCGATAACATTCCTATATGTTTCTGTGTATCCACCGACATGCAAAACTTCGTTTTGCACAACATTTTAATAACCAACGACGAGAAATTATGTCAATGAATATAATTATGTCGATCGTTTCCACTTGCCTCGAAATATTGCAAAAAGTTACGCCTGACCGGCCTAACGCAAATAGCAAAGGTGTTTTTCAATTTTTTTTCTTCTCTTGGCTGCTAGCAGCGGCTCTCGATCGCGCGGCAATTATCGGGAGTTATTTAATACATAACTTATCAACTTACCGATTCCTTGGACTTTGCATTTATCTCGATGACGGCTCTCTGCAGCTCGCCATTCTGTCGGCGCAGGAGAGAAATCTGTGTACAGACACAGATGATTCTTATGTAAGTTTTATATATATATCTATATGTATATATATAAAATAAAACTTTGTATATAAAAAAAGAAATCGGACGAAGGTAATGAGCGAAGGTCACAACTATTGAATATTGATATATACATGCCTCTTCATTCCTTTCCCGCGCGTGTTGCACGTGTTGTGTAAGTGATATTAAAAAATTATAACGAGCATTAATATTTATTACTATTAGATTTGTATTAATAATAAATGACTATAAAAAGAATTTTTTTCAATTTTTACGCTATTAATAAATGACAGGCAAACAGGTCCGTCGGCAATCGAGCAGATCCGCCTTAAAATGGAGTTCGCGAATAATAAAGAAATCCGTAAATTCGGAGCAACGATATTTGTTACGATATTGTCGGCTTTGACGATCGTTATCACACGCACGGGCGGGGCATTCGGCGTTCGACTTTGGCGCTCGTGGAGGGATTTATCCGCGAAATTCGGAAAGAATTCCGCCGCGAATCCCGATCCCGCTTAGGGCCAGATCAGCGCCCCGGGTTTCCCGAGTTAAATATTAGGAAGCACAGTCAGAAGGAAGTCCGGTGGTGCCCCGTGGATACAGGACGTACGATGCGCGTTTACATTTGCCGCTCTTATCTTACGTTTGCATTGCGATAACGGTTCCCCCACCCTCTCACGATCCTCGATGCGTTATCTCGCATGACCCCTGGGTACCACCAAAACTCCCCTTCCCCTCTCCTCGTCCCCTTCGCCTCTCCCGGCGAGCTTCCTCAGCGGAGCCCCCTCATTCGCCACGAGATAGAAAAAGCGTCTCGTTCGTAGGAATCGTAGATAAGCATCAGGTATATAAAGTGTCTCACAAACCAGGAAATATCTTCGATGAGCTTCGTAATCGGGGGTTTTTCTTTCTCTACCTTCCGAAGGGGAGGCAGGGGACCGAGGAGTACCTATACAATATTTCCCACCGGCCGTGGCCGGTCTGTCGTCTCTGACCGAACTAAAAGATCCGTGATCGTAATATCGTTATAACGGATAAGGCGAAACGCGCGCGTTGTTTGCTCTACACTCGTCCGCGATTATTGGGGAACGCGACATCTGTTAAAATAATTTCTAATCACAACGTAGCTCTTTCCCCCTTATCTTGGACTAGCAGACATCTGTGCGTATATCGAGTGTGTGTGTCTTTTTTTTTTATATTTTTTCTATTTTTTTCAACGTGAGATTTACATACACGAGGTTATCAGCGGGAATCGTTTAAAGGAAAGTCGTGAACGCGCACGCATTGAATTATAGATAATCACGTTGATAGTCTTCGGGGCTCTTTTTTTTACGACTGTGAATTTATGTATGGAATTACTGTAAACAACCTTCATACAAACTTAATGTTAGAAAAGCCAAATAATTGCTTATTTTAAGTATTACAAGCATTGGCAAATAGTGCTTTTAATATTCAAAATAAGTAATTATTTGGCCCCTCCAGTATTAAATTTCTATAAAGAATTATTACTGTTAGAAAGAATTAAACGCGCAGATTCTAAGAAGGTAACAATTATAATAGCAATCTACCTAAGTTCACAATTATAGTAATAATCTACATATTCTCTAAATTTTCTGGAATGACTTTTCACTCTTTTGGAGAGTGAGATTCACTCCAGAAAATTTAGAGATTAATATAAACTAATTTATGTGTAATACAAATGCGCACTCACTTCCGCATCCTTCGTGGTGAGCAGATCTTGTAATTGGCTGCATCTTTCGTTTGCCTCCTTCAACTGCTTTGATCGTTCGTCTGAAAATAAATAATGAATAATGATCAGAATATTATCGAAATCACGCTTGATCGTAGAATTTAATAAAACGTGAAATTTAATAAATCGGTATTGTAAAACTTGTACTATTTTCGCACATGAGAAAATACCTAGAAAAAATTTATGATAAAAATTGTAACATGATTATTACAATAATTTTTTAAATAAATTCTTAAGATATATTAGATTTTGTACCCATACACGGGGAGAATTTCTTTTTAAATTTACCCTGCAAATCATGTTAATTATGGAACAATATAGTATTTAGGACAATTTTACTGTGCACAATAAGATTTCGCAGTAAAATTTATTGTAGTGCACAATAAAATTTGCTTAAATACTATATTGTCTCACAATTCACATGATTTGCAGGGTAAATTAAAAAAAAATTCTCTCCATGTAGAAATCCAAACAGAAAATGTCGATAAAAAATCATGAAAAATCACAAAAATTAAAACAGTAATAAGCTACACGTACTACAACTTAGAATTATTACTAATAATAGAAAACATAAAATAATAAATTTATAAGAATAATGAAAGTTATAATATTATAATTGCTTTTCACACACAAATCCATTAATATGTATAAGATGGGTCAAAGAAATAAAAAAAATTTGAATTGAAAAATTTAAAATAAAAACTTAGAAACTTCATTCAATTAATTATAATAATATGTAGAGAAAATTTTCCGTTTCTTTAGCCCATCCTGTATAACCGATGTAATATTCATTTTAAAAATGCGTATTTTTCAATCAAGGTTTAATTGCGTTATATTTTGGTCTGTTTATATTTTATATCTTAATAGAACAGTTTAAAAAAAAAAAGATTTTTTTATATTGATCAACGCACTGCTTTGATTACAGTCGTTAAGAAAGATTCACAAGGATCAAAGACGGTCGGTTAGGTTCGCGCGCGACCACGTGATTCCGAGCCCGAGTGGTAACAATTTCTTAGTCGGTAAGACAAAACCATCACACTTTGACAGCCGTAACCTAACCCTTTACTGGAACAGCTACGCGTTACGGAAATTCCGAGATCTGCGAATCGTGCTACGACTCCGGGACGTTGATACGCACCTACTTCGTCAACGATACCATCGGATAAAACCTCCTTCGTAAGATTCGTGATCTGTCCCTTTAAATTGGAGAGGCTGGATAAACTATCACCGAACCACGACATTTTTTCGCGCTGTAACGGCGAACGTCACTCGCGTTTTTCGACAAGTGCACTGGCTTTTATCACTCGGGACGATCGTCGTGCGTGTGACACATCGCGATGATAGTAAACTCCGAATCGTTATGTTCTACGCGAATTACAAAACATGCCAACACGTACACTTCTTGACAGCAGACAGATTGAAACTCCTTCTCTCTCGATGGCTTTCGGAGCACACCGAATCGTAAAGCGCAAGCCACTTGTTCGCGAAGTTCTGCACGTCAGTGAGCGATTATGCCAACTGTGCCGGAGGTAGGCTTGTTGTCCAATCAAATTTAAACTGCATATTTAATTAAGAATTTTTTTAAATTAAATATTTCATTCAATTAATAATACGTACTGTATGGTGTAAAAATATATTTTGAGAACAAAAATGGATAATTTTGGAAATTAAAATTACTTTTCTTAGAAAAATCACCAAAATTATTAATAACAAAAGAGAGTTAAAATACTTGTCTTCCCCCCGAAATATCTTTTAAAAATATCTTAAAAATTTAAAATTGTCGGTGCGTTCCAAAACTTGTCGAGAAAAAGTGTTTCATTCTTCTCGTTGAATGTATATTATACTTGATTGTTAGATGCAATATGAACGCACATCAACGCAATCCGTTTGAATGAGCTTTTACGTTCTCATAAACATATAACCTTGTTTTTTTACAAAATATGTACAAGAAACAGTTAGAAAAGTTTTGAGTGTATATAGATAGATATTCAAATGATAAATAATGAAAGAACACTGCCAAAGATAAATATACAATTATTTAATAATAATACGTTTAATAACTCCAAATAAAAATGAAGTGATAATCGATCTGTGACTAATGTAACTTTTATAGCTAATTAAGTGACATATGTTTTTAAATTTTTTTGATGCAGTCTTTTGTAATTCAAAAGTTCATTTTTTAAATAATATATGTTTTACTTATGTCATTATCTATATTTGCATCTACATTATGCATTAAAAAGTTATTTTTTAGAATTCATAATTTGATCTTATATATATATAAAATATATATATTATATATAAATATATATATATATATATATAAATAATATATATATATATAATATATATATATTAATATATATTTATTAACGTTGTCTCAAAAGTCAGTCTCTCAAAATTTTATCTATCTATTTTAATGAAATATAACAGTAATATTCTACAATCATATTTAAATATAAAATCGGACTATTACGAATACCTCTCTTAATTGTTGTAAGTGGCGATAATGATTAAAATTTTTATTTATATAGATATTTAAAAATTAAAAATTATTATTGAATTATTTCTTTATTTTATTTTTTTAATTTTATATTAAATTTTGACAATGTTGTTCGAAATTTTTTAGTAATTAAAAGTTGAAAAGTAATTGTAATTTTATTTATATTATATATATAAGTATATAAAGACTATTTTTAAAAATAAAATTGCACTGTATCTATGTATATAATAAATTATATATATATATATGTATATATATATATACATATATATATATATATATTATATATAAAAGATTACCGATAATATATGCACAAGGTTTTTTATATTTTTCTATTTTATTTTATATTTCTATTTCAATAAAGATTTTAATATAAAGTGCTATATATAATATAAGCTGATTGTCTTTTATTGCTCTTATATTTCATTTATTCCAATATTGCATTTATCACAGCTCAATTATAATTGCGAGATTATTAATTTGAAATTGTATCACATTTCACGACAGGAAATATAATTTAAAACGTGCGAGTGACTGCAATTTCGGTAATGTTATCGTGAATTATCGATTTTTGCCGCTAGTGCGGCGCGTCCGCGCGTTGCTAATTTATTTTTACTGAAAATATACTCGCCGCGCATGGAAACCAATGTTATTTCTGTCGTTACGTCTCCCTCGTTACATACGAAAATTGGAGAGTCGACTTGATGAAATGCATACAAACCGCGCGTTTAGGAAGCGCCGGGAGAACCTTCTGAAGCACGACTTTGTTTCCGTTGCCGCCCCAAGGATGCCTGCGCCAAGATAAGGAAGGTCTTTAAGCAAACAGGTAACAATAAAAAAGAAATTTAAGTCCGTACACAAATAAAAATATAACGCCCGATAGAGAGGAGATAGAGCATAAATTACAGTAGATAATCAAGATATATCACGTATAACATAAATAATTCCAGAGATAAACAAAAAATAAACAAATACACAAAGTTTGTATATAAAGATAAGCGCGGTATTTGTACATGTCTTTCGTCTTTCTCGCGATTGGCTCAGGGTTATTATTCTCGCGAAAGGATATTTTGCATATCGATGCAGAGCAGAAAATATTCCGGGGGCAATCAATATCGTGTGCATAAAAGTACACGGAAAAGAGCTCGATAAATAATCCGGAAAACGGATACTCGATCGGCCGTGTGCAGTGTACATACAAATTTTATGGCGCGTATTTCGCGCCACTCTCTAGAGGTAGAGCCGATAGAGCGAAATTGCAGCGCTGTATCTCCCGTAAACATTAGCTTCTACATTTATTGATTTATTAAAAGAATACTCGTCCCGAAACGACTTCGCGAATCTGAAAGGATTAGCGAAATGCAAAATGATATAAATAGGAGCGTCGATAAGGGATCTAACTTCGGATCCGCGTAAACTTTAGATCACGTTACGGCAATTCCGCTGTCTAGGTATACTAAGAAAAAGCAGATAAACGTTTCGTTTCGCACCGCGTAAAGTCCGATGATCCGCTTCTCGGCGTTTGCCGAGCAATAATATATATACGCCTTTAACGTCGGCATCTGCAACGTTTAGAGCTCCTTTTGATTTTCCATCGGTTTTTTTTACATTTTACGTCAATTGTGCTGACACATTTCGCGGCGGCGAAATTGCACGGCGCGATTTTAAATAGCATGAGGTCAACAGCACCGAGACCTCGAAGTCATTATTCTTCACTCCGATAAATTATTAACACATTTGTATTAAGCGCGATTTTTTTCCGCGAAAACCGTGGAACGAACACAGGCATGTAAAGAGACTTAAGCCTCGGGTTTCACAGTGACAACGGTAGACTTCTCCGAAAAAAATCGCGCACGTGGTCCCGCCCCGCGAAAATTTCTGTCGGCGCCCATGGACAGAATCGGGAACGGTGTCGAGCGACCCCTCTCCCGAGGACACGGGCGAGGAAATCCCCGGGGGGGAGCGAGGGTGTCGGGGAGGAAGTCTGTGGTAGTAGGGGGCGGCGGTACGGCGGTGGTTTTCGACGATATAGGGGTGGCGCGCGGGCGCGAGCGCCATCTGGAGCGCTCAGTGCCCGGCCACCCTCGGTACACCCCGTGTGACTCGCGCTCGCGGCTTCCGGATTATCGCGGCTAGTTTTGCGGGCCCGAGGATTGGGACACCAGTAGTGCACCGTGCCTTAAATACAGTGACCAGTGTATGCCTTGAACGCGACGCGGCAAAAAGGTAATTATTACCGCCTGGTGGTGGTGATGGTGGTGGTGGTGGTGGTTGCGAAACGACGACGGCGATCGCGAGAGAGCCGTCCGTCTCTCGCTCTTTCTCCCTTTCGGACGTGAGATTTGGAAGTAACGGGAAGAACGGAGGTGGACGGCAACGACGGCGGAGGTGGCGGAGAAAGAGAGAGAGAGAGAGAGAGAGAGAGAGAGAGAGAGAGAGAGATAGAGAGAAGGTGGAGCGCGAGCAAGGTGGCGGCGACGACGACGCGGCGTCGCAGAGGCAGATCGCTCGCGTCGCCAAGGATCCTTCGCTCCTCGCGAAGCGATGCCGAGACGAGGCGCACGCGAGTCGACGAATCGATCCGCCCGCCTGCCGCCCCGATACCACGGCACGGTATTCGCGCTTGATCCGCGCCCGTACCCCTACGCGGGTACGAGCGGAGAGGAAAAATGCGATCGGCGAGAGAAAGAATCGCGACGCGTGTGGGTCCGCGCGTCGGGTGGGAGCAACGTCGTCGCGCGGGGACGTTCCCGAGAGTTTCTCTCTCCCCTCAGGTGTCTCCCCCTCGCGCACCGTGAGGCCGATATCGGCGACGTAGTATCGGGGACGACGGGGGCGAAAGGCGCGCGTTGCGATTCGCCCACACGGGGGAGACTCCTCGGGGTTCGCTTACCGAGGGAGAAAGAGAGAGAAAGAGAGAGAGAGAGAGAGAAAGAGGTAACGGGGCGCGATATCGGCCGCTCGGTCACCCGCGGTGGAAACATGGGCCGCCACCTTCTCGTCGACGCTCGGCCGCGTCCGTTGGGTCTGCCTCCCGCGCGCGATTGATCGTCGGCGGCGCGGCGCGCGTCATCGCCGTCCGTCCGTCCGAGTCCCGCTCGCCACGCTTGCGAGTAGTAGACGCGTGTCCGGACGGCGACGACGTCAAGACGTGGAAACGAGTCGCGGATCGTCGGTCCCTATCCCACCGGCGAGGCCGTGCTTTGCGGAGAGACGCATATGATCGGTTAGACGTACATACGTGGTTTTTCACGCCGGTGCATGCGCCGTGTCCGCGGGATCCCGCACGTTTGTCGGACGCGACAGAGGAGAGAAAACGAGGACACGATCGGGGAACGCGAGTTTGAATCGGTTTGCGGGATTTTCCCTCGCGATCGCTTCTCGATCTTCTCTGACGTGTCCTTCTCCCCCACCCCTTCTTCCGGACAAACGCGACGGAGGAGACCCTCTTCCGTCGCGCGAGATCGCGAACTCGAGAGCCGGATTTAATTTTCTCGATTAATTATCGGTGCGTTTAATTATCGCAACTGTCCCCTCCCCCCGTTCCCTCTCCTCGCGACGAGTAGACCGTCCACGTTTTTCCTAAAGTACTTCCCCGTCGGACTCTGTCGACGTGACTTGGATTTGTCATCTCCCCCGTCCGACAATTAAGCTCGAAACGTGACTTCGTTCGAGCACGCGTCGACAATGCCGAATTTATACCGGGCTGGCGAGGCGAGCCAGCCAGGTGGCAGGTTATTTGTTTTAGTTTTCGCGATAAGAGTGGAGGTAGGCGAACGATTTGCTGCTTTAGTTACGTTATATACCTGCCCCTCGTCAGTGTATACTTAGATCGTCACGGATACGGAACGCCGGAATCGAGTTAAGAAAAACGCGAACTGCTTGTTTTTCTTTGAGAAAATGTAATGTAGAAAAGATAACTCCGCCGTTTGACTCCCAGCCCCCTCCCAGCTCCGCGCGTTCCCCGGTTTAACCCGGTG